GTCTATTACTATAATCAAAACACATAGGGGTACTCTTATCTGGAGAACTTAGCCCTGCCTGTAATCCTATGACTCTGTTTTGTATACAGGGAGTGGAGCCTCTGCCCTCAACCAGAAATGGTGATGGTGCTAAAGGAGGTTCAGCTTACAAATGTCCTAACACCAGTTTCCACCACTAGAGTCTGCTATTCTGTGGCTGCTCAACCCATTATAAAAACACATTTGGAAGGTGAGTATAAACAACAAAAAAAAGGGAAAGGAAGAGGAACAGCATGCAAAAGGAAAGTCAAATCTGCAGCTAAGTAGTGGTGGATCTCCAGATAGGTAGAGTTCAAGTCCTGAGATTTCAACCACTACTCTCACTCAGCACTCTACATTTTCTGATCCAATATAAGGTGGAGGGCTGGGGACATGACTTGAGTGATACAGCAGCTGCCTAGAAAGTACAGGGCCCTGAGTACAAACCCCATTTCTGCAAAAAATAAACGAGTAAGTACATAAATAAAGGTGAAAATGCAGAACACTATAAAGGCCATTCTCACTGCATTTTAGTGATGCCTAGAAGCACACTGAATGTAGCCTCACTGTACCCTACCCTACCAAACCCCCTCACTGTAATTAATTCCCTTCCCTGGTGTATTGCTTTGGTCTCTTTGAAAAACACCTCAAGACCTTTCCTGAAGTAACAGTTCAATTTTCCTTAATTTCCTTCTGTTCAGAGATCCTAATCAAAGTTAGTGGGCACACATATGTCCTTATTCATGTATTTCATGAGGAAAACTGCCACTTTCACTCCTACTCCATGGTTTGAAATATTCTTATACTCTCAATGAGGGTGGAGAGAATTGAGAGTATCCTCTATGATTATGGTGGTCTTTATAAACCTTTTTCATTATTCATGCTGCTTGTGATTAAAACCAGGGCCAAGAGCATAGTAGGCAAGTGTTCTACTAAGCCACACTCCAAGCCCAAAACATTTCATCTTTTTTACATCACTTTCCCTTTTAATTAACTTACCACAAGCTCCAACAACAAGCTCATCAACTATGTCCTTACACAGGGTCCTGTCCATGGTCCTTAAGATGAAACAATAAAAATGCATTGTCCACTATTGGTAGGGGCTTGATTGCTGTGTTGGTATATAGGGAGTAGCATCTCACTTACCAGGGACTAACTTCTTCCTTGATTTCTTTTTAGTGATAGAAACTTCCATGGAGATGGAGACTTCTATAATATTGCAACCTCCAAGCCAGACATTTTGTCTTCTCACGAACTCCAGAACTCCTCAACTCATGCAGTAGCATGAATTCTCAGACACTGAGAGCAACCTGCCTCTTGAGCTTGGAGACATTTCAATAATAGCTCCAGCCCAAAGTTTTACCAGTATCTTTGCCTTGCCTCCAGCTCCAAAGTGGGAAGAAACACAAAATGAGAACTTGGATGAAATTAAAACCAAGTTTTCAAAGCCTCTGAATGCCTACCATACCCCAACAGAAACTCAGTATCATATGTTACTCTATTTAAAAATCCCTGATATTCACCAGCTTCTGGCCTGCATTAATCCTTTGGGCCCAGAGGAGAAGCCTGGTTCTGAAACATGCCAATTTGGGAAAGAGTAGCCTAAGTCTTAAGCACCAAGGAACACTTAACAATAGGATTGACTCTAGCAATGGTTTTGCAGACAGCTACATTGGTGGAAGATATTCACCTTCCACCCATTTTCAACTCATCAAAGCCAAAGATATGAGAGACATCAAGGTAAATCAGGTGCTGGAAATGTAAAGTGTCATAAAGGGTCCCACTTATCAAATCAGAATGAAGGAGGGAACCTCTGAGCCTCTGGAGGTGGTCCTAAGGCCAAAAATTCATAACCCCAACCCAGAGTCCCTGTTGGGGAGAGTATTGTTTGTGTACAGTGCTGCAGTCAGTGACAGGGCTTCTGTTAACACAACCAAGCTTTTGAACAGCAAACCTCCAAAAGTTGCATCCAGCAGGGCCAGCAAATCTAAAGGCCATGGGTAGGAAAAGATCAGAGAAAACAACTACAAGAAAGCTGAAGAGAGTAAGCAGTCAGTGAACAAAGTGAAGGCAGAGGAGAAGACAACTATTCCCAAGGTGAAGCAGAAGAGAAATCAATCTGAGATTAGCCAGGAGACAACCACACCTCAAAAGCTATGTAGGCATGCACATGTTGGAGTCAGTGAAGGTTTTCATGCACTGGGGAAGTAGAATGATAAGAATATTGGGCCATCTTCCCGTCATGCCCTGGGAAACTTCAGCAACACCAAAGGCTCCCAGTTTTCTCCAGCTATAAATCATGGCTGGATACCCCACAGAAGGGCAAAGGTCCTAAGAAAACTCAAATCAAAGCCCAGAAACAAAATAGCAGTACTGGAAATGAATGTCCATCTCCATCCCAATATGAGCTGCCCCCACCTGGGAAGGTCAAGTTGGTACATTTACCTTTTCTAACTCTAGACAAGCCTCAACCTTGATCTGTTCCTCATAGGCCAGTCTCTTGCCTCACGTAGGCCCGCTGCATCTTACCTTATGCAGTCTCATTCTAACTCAGCTCAATCTATGCCAGCCAATGCATGTCAACCGTTAGTGCCAACAAATCTTTCATGAGTCCCGCCAAACCAACTCGGCCAATTTCAACCAGTGTACCACTCTCAAGTTTGACCAAGCCTACCCAGCCTAGTGTGTCTCATTCTGCTTCTGCTAGGTCAGCACCTACAAAACATGTTGCACTTCTTTTCAGCAGGAGCCTGCTTCCACTGCTGTGACCAAATTCCAGCCACCACCTAAGCCTCAAACCCAATTTCTACTCCAAGATTTCAGCTTTCAACCAATTCCTTGGAAGAAGCCCAATGTTCCTGAACCAGTACTGTCAAGCCCCATCACAAAAGAGCAGCAGCCAGAGTGTGAGGCCATGAAAAGGAAGGCTCAGCAAGAGTGTGAGCATGCTGCCAAATACACTTCTTTGGGAAAACTGCAGTTTTTCATTGAGAGGGGAAAAGAAATGGAGATTTCTCAATACTATGGCTATATAATGTAAGAGCTGCTAAGATTGTTGGTACCGTTTTAGGTATCAAAGGTTTTCATATATATATGAAAACAAAGATTTATAAACATATAGCTATATAAATACGTAAAAATTATATAGACAAAAAATATAAAAATTTCTCTATTCTGATGTAGTTTAAAAACTTAATAAAATTAAATAAAGTAATAGAATTAATAGATAAGCAATAAAGGGGCCTTTTTAGCTTTGAGATGCTGCCGCCTGTAGCTTTCTTTGGTAGAGGTGGGTATCAAAGTCTATATTAGAAAGAAGGAACTGGAAATTGTATAGATGAGGAGAAGGGAAAAATGAGAAATGAGGAAAGAGGAAGGAATATAGTCCAGGAGTAGAAAGGTTAAGAGAGAGATTGTATGGGCTTATAAGAAGCATCAGAAATGGGTAAAATGACAAAGTCTGAGGTTGGGGTTAAAAAAATTAAATTTGGAAAAAGTTGAAAATGACAGGATGGATTTAGGTTGACCAGAAGAAATGCGAAAAAAAAAAATCTCTCCTGGAGAATGGCCTCATGCCTCATGTCACACTAGATAAGCATTTTAGAAGGTAAAGTTCAGCACACAATTCCAAAAGACTTGGCTTATCTATGATTAAAGTTGGGATCACTGAATACAAAATACGGGAGACTCTATCACAGGCATGGCAAGGGCTCAGTCTTCCTGGGGATAGCTGATAACCTGGGGCCTAGCCGAGCAAGCTGCAGCAACTTGAGGTCCACCCAGACCTGCAACATAAATCACCATTCTCTCAGCACTCATGCAGCAGGGAAGCAAAATGCACTACTTCAATTAACCTTCAAACACACAAGGCCAGTATCACTGTTAAACTTTGCTAGTGAGGTTCATCAATGGGCTGGGATTGTTTTACATGCAGAGGAGCAAGGCCTCCATTTGAGGATTGGGTCTCTGAAGCCTTCACAGTTTGCAAGAGCACATAGGCCTCCAACCTGGCTTTCAAAGCACAGCATCCAGAGGTCATGGGTGAAAAAGACCAAATCTCAGCAGGGAACTGAATCCTAAGTGCAGGGGCTGGTTTCTCCTGCACTAATCCTAGCATGTGCTACCTTCTCTAACCATTGTAACCAACAAAAGAGCAGGAGAAAAATGGGCATCAAGAGTCCATGCTCATCCCGGGAGAGAGGTGTTTACATGTGTGCAGTGAGTCACCTCCCAGGGCAGGGCTCTGGAGCCCAACTGTAGAGGTGCTTGGAGGCACAGTAGGAGTGAAAACAGATGGCAGACACTGTAGGACTACAAGAAAGGAATGGAGTAGGGGAGGAACATGGAGCAGCAGATGTCAACATCAAAAACTTGTGATTTACGTTTAAAAAATTATTTCTTGAGATATACTTCACCTAACATTAAATTCGCCAACTAAAAGTGTATAATTCAGTGGTGTTTAGACGATTCCCAAGATTGTGCGCTCATCACCACTATCTAATCTCTAGTATTCCATTAGCTCCAAAAGAAACACATCTACTGTATGGCAGTCACTAATGTGTACAAAACTGTCCGCTTTTCATCTTTATCAATTCAGCAAGAAGTAAAGATGTCAAATGTTCATTTCAGTCAAGATTTTCTTACTTATTGTTTCTGATTTGTAGAAAGACAAGAGCACTAACCCTTCTGGCAGAAGCTGACTCCTGTCAGCTTACAAATTCCCTCCCTAAAATGACTAGATCCTAATTCCTATATTCTCTAAAGCATTATCTTAAGAACTTCTAGCAGCCAGACTGAGGTGGCTCACACCTGTAATCCTAGTTACTTTGAAGGCAGAGATCAGGAGGATCAAAGTTTCAAATGAAATAGTTTTCAGGGCCCTGTCTCAAAGATACTCAACACAAAAAGGGGCTAGGGGGAGTGGTACGTGCCTGTGCAGTAAGGGTGAAGCTCTGAGTTCCAAACCCTGTACCACCAAAAAAAAAAAAAAAAAAGGCCCCAGATAGAGCTATCTAAGTCTCTCTCACCATAGATTCCCTACCAAATGCCAGCTCAGTGTTCATAGAAATCATTAGCAACTCAGCCTTTCTCACTTTATCACAGCCAGAATAGTAGTAAGAACCACTAACAAGAGAAGTCACATATTTAGGTGTCTATTCCTATTACATTGTCCCCACTGTTAATTTTTCCATTGCATTTCCTTCCATGGAAAAAGGAGTGGCATACTCATCTGGCTACTTCCTGCTAAAATTGGGTGATTAGTGGGATTCTCCTGATGGAAGGTATGTATCTGTCTTTGTCAGTCAGCCTGGTGAGTGTTAGGCCTCTAACACTAGTTTTTATGGGTAGGATATGCAGCAAAGTGCTAAGTAAATAAGAAGGTATACTGATCCTGTAATCAACATGATGGTCATGCCAAAATGGAGATAGATACCTAATAAGACAGATGTGACACCATTAGGAATCCAGGAAAACAATCTAGAAAAATAGTCTGCCAATTCAGCCTCTATACCATCAAAAAAGAGAGAGTGAACCTCTCAGGCTTATTGTAATGAAGAAGTTTTGTCTAATCTTTTTTACATTAATTTCTACCTGAAAAGAATACTGATATAAGTATGACAGAGCATATTAGCAATAGCACACATACCCCCTTGCTCAGCTAACATGTACTCCAGAGCCATCTGAACCCAACACAACCTTTGCCAGGGAGTCTTGGGAGCACCCATAAAGAAGTCAGTATTTGAGCAATATGAACCAACCAGTTTTCCTTCCATCCTGCAAAGGGGATACAAAGACAAAAGCAACTTAGTAGATTCAAAGGGACATTCATTTTGCATTTTTTCTGAACAGGAGTCTTATGTCTTCCAGTGGCTGGCTTTCCCACTGGTTTTTTAGTTGTAGTGGAGTTGCCTCTGCTGGGCATTTCTTCACTCTCGTGCCATGCACCCATGACTAAACTCCAGCTAACTACAAAGAGGTATGAGACATCAGAAGCACATCATAAGGCTCTTTCCATTTTAATTCCACTTGTTGTTCAGGGGCCTTGCTTGTTCCAAGTTTCAGAAGTACTTGAACTCCCATCCTGAAGGGATGAAATGGTATCTCCAGCTGAGGAAGTGACCTGGAAAATGGAAATGTATGTATAGTAGTTAGTATTTGACTTATTTCCTGAACATACTGTTTTAATTTCATCTTTTGTGCTTAGATTTTCACCTCTTATTTGAGGGACCAAGAAGGATGGGCCATATATTATTTCATAGGGGTTTACATCTAAGGGCCACCTGTATGTATGCAGAGAAGGGCAATAGCTTGTCCCAGTTTAACTTGGTTTCTCTGTTTATTTGCTTTATTTTGTTTTGTTTTGTTTTTGAGACTGGTCCATTCTATCACTTGACCCACACTTGTCCTGAGTTACTTGACATACTTTAGCTATCAGCCTTTTCAGAATGCAATTTATGTTTTCAGTTTTGCCGCTAGATTAAGGTCTCCATGATGCATGTAGCTTCCATTACCCAGTAAATAAGATTTTACTTACTTGCTGGGTAATTACTGCCATGAAGGAATGTCTGTTGTCACTCTGAATTGAAGACAGAAATGATCTCTTTTAGAAAAATCTTTGTCATCTCCAAAGCTTTTTCATTTGGGTGGGGTAGGTCTCAACCCATCCAGAAAAAGTATCAACTAGCACTAACAGATATTTAAAATTTTCAATAGTCTTTGGCATCTAAGAGAAATCCACTTGCCAGTCTTAAGGGATGTTCTCCTGTGTACCAGATTCTCTACTCCAAAGGTTTTCTTTATGTCTTAGGGTTATTCTGAACACATAAGGGACCATTCTTGAGTGACCTATTGCGTCAATCTTTTTAACCAGAATCACTCCCCCACCCCCAAAATAAGGTCAGATGAATCCTACCAATGCATCAGGGCTGTAATAAGTACTTTCATGTAGATGTTCTACACAAGTGCCTCAGGCAAAAGTTTAAGTCCATGAGAATTTTGTTTCCATTTTAAGTGCTGTTCCACTTGTGAAATCCCCTTTCATCATCTGAGTCTCCGGCCCTCCAAGTCACTGGACTCTCTAAAGGCCATTGTTCTCAGGTTTCTTTTGCAGCTTTGGGCATTTTTTTCTGCAATGTCCTTTGCAACAGGCACATTTGTTTTCCCCCAATTTGGGTCAGTCCTTGTCATCTTTTCTCTCTTGGGGACTCCCTTTGTTTTGGGCTACATAAAATACATGACTTGGTTTCAATTTCTGTTCCTCCCTAGCATTACAAACCTTGTAAGCAACATCAACAAGTTATTTGGGATTCATTCCAATTGTTCCTCTACCTGTTGTAATTTCCTTCTGATGTCAGGAGCACTCTGTCCAATAACAGTCATATAAACCACATGTAGGTTCTCAGGTGACTCTTGGTAGGAGTCTGTACATTTCCTCTAAGCCTGGTAAACCCATTCTAAAAATTCAGAGGGGCCTTTTGTTGCAACTCTTCTGTTGGATCATATTTAGGCTCCTCTACTTGGGTACTTCCCTGTGGAGTCCTATAAGGCTGCACCTCAGATAATTATTTATCTTGGAATTTTCTGCACCTGTAATTGGGTCCCAATTTGGTTCCACTACTGGTATGACCTGGTCACATACACAGACTTGGTTAGGATACTCATTATAGAGGCCTTGTGTCTCATCTTTTGCTTTGTCCATCAAAATTTAGCACCCACTGGTCATGAGCAAGATTTCAACAAGCTTTCTTAATCTGCCCAGGTAGGGCAGTAGGTAAATAATTTAGTCATTTTCTGGGGATCCCTCACTATAGTGCAAGTTTGAATTTTTCCAGTTTAATAAGTCTGAGGTTGAAAAGTGATGATAGGCCCAGTAATGCCCACCCTGCTCTCCTTGGGCATTTGTTTCTATTAAGTACTGCCTTAGAGGAAATTGTCCTGCTCCAGTAATAGGGGCCACCTGTCCAAATAATGTGCTCTGTTAGGTCTCAGAAGGGGAGACCATCCTTGTCCCTGACTTATAACTCAGAGTGGTTTGGGTCAGCTGAGTTACACCTCCCTTTGTTCCCCTTACTCCCTCAAAAGGAAGCAGGCCACCAACTCCTGAGCAGCTACAGGAAAAGGTAGAGTGGCAGAGCCTTCAGGATAACTCAGGTTAAAGAGATTCATTACACTCAAATCAATTAGGTCTTCTCTGACCTTTTCTTCTGGGGCATAGCAGTCCTTGACCATGGGAAGCTTTGAATTTCCTTGTACCATCAACTCAGTTACTGGCTGTTCAGACTCCTAGCTGTATACCTGCATAATTACCTGCACACATGGAATTTCATCCTATTTACCTGCTTACAAACAAAATGACTCCAATGGCAAAATCATGAAATTCAAGGTTTCATTCAAAGACTATCTGTACTCATTTCCTAATATATACATAGGCCAGGCTATGATGCAACAAAATTGTCATAGGCTTATAAATATAAGTAGATTGCTCTGCTAAGATTTATCCAAGAGTCCTTTCAGATGGAATAGAAACAGCATCTCCCATAATAAACACAACCCAGAACACAAAGCACACAAAGAAAAGGAAATTTCCCCAAAACCAAGGCCAACAAACATGAACATTCCACCAAATTAGGAAGGCAACAGATGGGAATGAATCCCCTAGGTTTCCTAGTTCTGCTAAACCTGTGACCTCTATCCAACCACACCACAAAAGAATGACTCATTTGGGGCCTGAAGATCCACATGGGGACCTCCCCAAATGAGTATAATGCAGGGGTCTCACCCAAGCTTAGCCAAGGTGTTACAACTTCTTTCAGACACTTTTTTCTTTTCTCCAACATCATTCCAGCAGCAAGAACTATGTCTACACAATCCACACAAGAGAAAACAGAGTTCCCCAGAGCAAAATCTGGCTCTGGCAGTTGTTGGGATAGTCCCTTACTCTCCCCCTCTTCTTTTAAGACAATATCTCCACTGGACCTGTCCCAGAGTTTGATGTAGGGAATGATTTCCTACAAATTTCTATTCCCCCAGTATCTAGAGGTTCAGGTTGAGAACCTTTCCCAGAGTCCCACTTTCGGTGCCAAATTTGTTACTGAAAATTTGGTCTCCTGAATTCAAAATCAATTCTCAGATAGTGAGAATGATATTTTTGGAGAAAAAGAAGTAAAGGTTTATTAATTACGCCAGACAAAATGAGGACTGTGTGATCTGCTGCTCAAAATGAAACTATAGTCTTAGTACTAGGGGAGGAAGAAAGGCTTTTAAAGGAAAGCCTTTGAGCATGAGCTTCAGCCTTTGTACATGCCGAGGCATAATGTTTGGACCAATGGTGAACTTGGGTTTGATTACTTCCTGATTGCTGGCATGAGTCTTTGGAGTTGTAGCCTTTGCTGTCCTGGACATTTGTTCACTTGCCGATGCTCTGGATGTCCATTCCTTCCCACAGACAGTGAGATAAGGAGAGTAGCACGATGTCCTTTCCTGGAGAGGTGAAGACATTCTTGAGTGCTGTCACATGGGGAAATGGGGTAAGTGTGTGCAAAGGGAGGGGGGACAGAACAATGAGAAAGACAAGAAACAAATGTCTTTTTAAAAACTCGTGTTAACTGAAAGCAGACTGGTCATTAAAGTGAGTTATTGGGCTAGAACTACAGTTGTGAGCATATTTAGGTCAGTATTCCTGTTACAAGAGAATCACTACTCTCTGAAAAGTCCATTCTGAAGGTTTTCAGTGTAGTTTTATCTTTCTGTGCAATGTCCTTGACCCATTGAATACTGAGGAGTGGCTGAGTGGATGAACTGTTAGAAGTAATTGCACAGAAAATAAATCTTTCCCAGAGAAAACAAATCAAAGCTGAAACTCACTAAGTATTTAGATTGCTATATCTTACTATTTGCAGATACATTCCTTCCTTTATATAAGTTTGGCAAAAGACTATCTCACATTGTTTTGTTTCTTTTCTTTTGGTGTTGAGGATCAAATTCAGGGCCTCATACATGCTAAGTAGATGCTACATAAATGAGCTACATCTTCAGTTCCCACAGATTGTTTTATAGGGTTTTTTTTTCCTTTAGCTTTGTGTGTGTGTGTGTGTGTGTGTGTGTGCGCGCACGCGCGCACATTTGTGTGTCTTATGTTGGAATGCATAAATTATAAACTTTTTCCAAAATGTGAGAAATTCCTCTATATTTTCACCTTTAGCTTTTATACAAAAAAAAGGAAAAGTATAGACAATCCTCATATTTACATTCAATTGCATCATTATGCCTTCTACATCAATCAAATATCTAACAAAATATTTCTACATCAAACAAATATCTAACATAATTTGGGTCACTTATATATATGAAAAGAAAAAAGTTTTTCCTCATAAAAGATCCAACTTTACTTACAAATGGTTACAAAAAAATCCAAAGAAAATATCAACACACTTAATCAAAGCATTATTAAACAATGATATTAAAAGACCAAATAATATTCCATTCCATGAAAGGATGACTCAACTTTAGAAAATCTATTAATAAAAGTACTTATATTAATAAAATAACTAATAAAGAAAATACATGACTGAACTGGCAAAAAGTTAAAAAGTATCTGAAAAAAACAATAACCATTTTTGATCAAATAGTTTGTGCCCCAAAAACACAAGATTTCCTTACTATAAAGAGTATCAGCAATATCCATAAAAAGTATAATCAATAGCATGCAAAAGACAAACTGGAAAAAACAGTAACATATATAAAAAATACTATGTAACAATCATCAACATCACCATTAGCCATTTATTACTCTCACCTTCAACTACACCAAATCTTGACAATAGTATTACCTAAGAATCTCTAGAATATGAATACATCTTTAAACCAAAATGACCAATACATGTGGGTCCAAACTATCATTATGCCTCAGTTCCTACAAAAGCTCCTAACTTGACTCCTTGCTTCTCCCTCTGCAGCACATTCTTCACTCAGTAGTAAAATGACTGGTTGAAAATGCAGTATGATTATGTTCTACACACTCACCCCTCAATAAAAGGTTCAAAAGTTTTCTTTTTTCTTAAGAAAAATAAAAGCTTAAATATAGTCCTGTATGACCTAGTTCTTATCCAAACAAATAGCTTGATTTTAATGCCATACTTCCCCATGGCCCACTTCCTCCAACACAGAATATGCTATCCTGTTAAAGTCTTTGGCATCCCATCCTGGCTAGTACCAATTCAACCTTCAGATACTTGTTCAAATTTGTCCATGGAAACCTCTAACTTCTTGAGGAGATCACATCCTTCCTGTTATATGTTCTCATGGAACCATGTCCATCTCCTCATTAGTCCTTGTTAGAGTTAAAACTCACTATATTTCTTCAGGAAGGTAGGTCAAGTCTCTTTGCTAACACCCAGACTACTTACATCAGAAGCTTGTTAAATAGTTTCTGAACGAACAGACATAAATAGGTACAGTGTACAATATCCATTAAAAGTGTAAGAATGTATATTCTTTGATTCAGAAATTCTATTTTGAGTGAAATTATCTCTAGGACAATGACATGTGTAGTCAAAGAAGCAAATACAGGAATGCTCACCACCTGAATGTTTGATGCCATGCATCAAAACTTCTGGCTTTCATGCTCAGCAGTAGGCAAAGAAACCTTTTTAAAAAAAACAAAACAAAATAGCATTCTTTAAAAAGAATAAGGTATCCAGTACATCCACAGAAAGATGTTTCCCACATATTAATTACAAAGCAGAATGCCTACAATACCATAAACTACCTACATGTACTTTGTATATGCATTTCTGAAGTCTAAAAAGACATAAATTATTAATGATGGCAATCTCTGCATCTAGGACAAGATGGCTTTTGGCTTCACACATTCCTGATCACATGTCTTGTAACATGCTTACAATACCATTAAATCAGACAAAAATAACTTCATCATGGTTTGCTTTGGGGCTCATAACTCACCTGCAGAGGAGGTAGCCAGTCCTGTTTAAACCACGGGTAAAATGGACACCAATAAGTTTGCCTATAAAACAAGACATACAAATAAGTAACTCATACAGATACATCAAAAATAAGTTGTACAATTTTCTAAAGAGCAACATTTCAAGTACCACTGCCATGCAAAAAGGAATGTACTGTCCAGTACAAAACCTACCAGAAAGCCAATATTCATTGTCTCTAGGATACTTTCAATAGCTCCAAGTTAGACTCAATGGTGTAAACTGTAGAAGGCCTGATCTGATATTAACAGCTAAAATTGACCTGAGACAAATTCCTTTGTCTCAGTGTAGATTGACTATCTGTAACTAATTTAATTACAGAAAAGGTCTGTGAAAAATAAAGCCAATTGGCTAGGAGACACACAAAATTTATTTCTAATGAAAACAAATAGAATGCCTTCCCCCCTCTACCACTTTTTATTTTCAATGCTGGGTATTGAAACTGGGGTATGGCATATGCTGTGCAAGTGCTGTATTGTGCTACATCACAGCCAAGACTTCAGTTTGATAATGAATACAAGCACAACTGCCCATAGTGGAAAAACAGCAGCAATACCTTAAATATGGATAACAAAGATGCAATTTCACTCACCTACTAATGCTTTCTTTTGCTTCGTTTTAAAACACTTTTGTTGCTGTTGCATACTGGGGTAAGAACTAGCCTGCTTGCTAGGCAGGCATCTTACCATTGAGCCATACTCCCAGCCCTTTTTTGCTGCTAAGGGACGGCCTCACTCCCAAATTCTTTTGGTGTCTCTGTTGTGTAATTCTCAGTCCCTAACATTTTTAATCTTTTCTAATACCTCTTACCTCTTAACCAATATTTAAGACAAAAGAGCATTGTTATTTATTATGCATTATTTATTTTATTATGCATTTCCCATTCAAGATTTTAACAAATGAGTCTGTAAGTCTGGTACAGTTAAATATTTCTCATTAAAATCACTTTTGAAAAGGAGTTAAACTGTCTATTTGTGACAACCAAAGGATAAACACCTTACTCTATTACCACCATCTGACATTTTCACCTTAACACCATCAAAGACTACAGGCCTAATGCAATAACTACTGAAATTATCAAAAAATTTCCATCCAAATTGCACACCAAAGTTCAGATAAGGGAAAAAAAAACAATAAAAACTCACCATTGGCTTAATTTTCTTTCAAAAACCATTAATAGGACATTTGAATTTAAAAACAGTGTCATCAACAGGCACCTGATGCCTAAATGTAAACAATTTTAAGAAACAGTTTCCTATAAAGCAAAAACAGAAAATATGTATATTATTTCATTTCTGGGAAAGAATTAAAGATTAATTAGAGGAGCCACCATACAAACCAACCAGTTATAATAAACTTAGTTTATCAATAATTCTGTTAAAGAGAATCATTTCTTCCAAAGCTGCTCTAACCAGGAAGCATCATTTTTTATTGAAACTATAGGACAGTGCTGGGAGCACTCAAATGGTAGAATGCCTGCCTAGCAAGAACAAAGTTTGTATTACTGAGTTGAAACCCCAGTAATACAAACAAAATATAGGACAGTTAGTCAACGTGTACACATAACACAGCAAAATTCATATGAATGAGTATACATACACTGTAAATAAAAATTACATGAACAGGTCTACGTAACTTCACACTTCAAGAGCCAGTACCTTCATAAAGCAGTTGTGATTTTAACCAGAAGTATTTAAAGGATGGGTAAAAGTAGATACTGGTATGAGACAGAAGAGGTTCAGTGAAAATCCTGCAGCTGAGTTTAAATGGAAAGTATAAGCATGAACCCATGATGTAGTTTACATTACACATAGTCGTAATTCCCAGGTCAACATCTCTAGCACACAGATGGTAATCTCTCTCTAAATATGATTCCCACCAAAAGAAATCAAAGCACTTGTTAAAATGGCTGGTTCAGGTTTGGATAGGACCAGTATAAGATGAGTCTGAAACTTATTTCATACAAATAGCAAAAAACTGATAAAAAAAAATTAGTAAGGTTGTATCAAAAGATCTCAGGAGACAAGTTGAGAAGCTCCAACTATCCAGGGAGGACTTCAACTGTACCTCAATAAGAAAAAACAACTGCAATGGAGTTTATCATAATATAAAAACAAAATTAATGAAATAAAATCTAATTAGGCACCATAAGAAGATATTAGGGAACCAATTTATATTATTTTGAAATAATAACATTCTTTCTTTTAAATAAAGGAAAGAATCATGCCTGCATTACTAGACAACCAAATGAGAGGAAAGTTCATTTAATAATTGAAACAAAAAAGACAGAATTCACCTTTTTCTTAGCTTGGCGTGGTGATGCACACCGGCACTTGGGAAGCTGAGGCAGAAATATCTCGAGTTCAAGGGCAGTCTGGGCTACACAGCAAAACCCTGTCTCAAAACAGATAAAAGAAAAGAACAATCACCTTTTTCAAAATTCCAAAGAAATTGATCAATCACCAAAGACGGGTAACACCACTGGGAGAGACAACCACTCATTATAACTCCTGATGGAAGAACGTATCATCAGCTATGAAATGGTCATGCACTGGGAATGATGATGGCACACAGCTTCAGGAGGCTGAGGCAGGAGGACTACTTGAACGCAGGAGCTCATGATCAGGCTGGGCAGCACTGGGAGATCCCATTTCAAAGCACACACATGCAGGCTATGGAGGCACACACCTACACTCCCAGAAATGAGAAGACTGTGGTTCAAGGTCAGCTTGGGTAAAAAAAGGGCAGCGAGACCCTATCTCAATCAATAAGTCAGTCATAGCAGCACATTAACTGCAATCCCAGCTACTCAGGAGGCTGAAATAGGAGGATCATGGTCTGAAGCTTTCAGAGGCAAAAGTGTGAGACACTCTCTAAAAAATAAACTAAAGCAAAAGGGGATGAGAGTGTGGCTCAAGCAGTAGAGTGCTTGCATAGCAATGGTGAAGCCTTAAGTTCAAACCCTAGTACCACAAAATATAAATAGATAAAACACACACACAAGAAATTGTCTTGCAAACAAACAAAAAAAATCAAGCCTGAATTTGATCAAGCTAATCCAACTACCAATTTCCAGAAAATAAAAGAACTAAAAAATATTTTAATGAGCTGGGGACAGGTGGCTCATGCCTGTCATCCTAGCTACTTGGGAGGCTGAGATTGGGAGGATTGGGGTCCCAGGCCACCTTGGGAAAATGATTCTCGAGGACCCCATCTCCAAAATAATCAGACCAAAATGGACTGGAGGTGTGGTTCAAGAGTTAGAGCCACAACACTTGCAAGTGGGAATCCCTGTGTCCAAACCCCAATCCCACCAAAAAGAAAAACAAATGTTAACACATGGAGGTGTAATTATCAAAATCTAAAGGGTACAAACAGTACCCAATTTCTTCAAAGCATGAAATTTAGACAGGGGAAGAGGGACAGGAAAGTGAGAGGAACATGGAGGGGACTCTAAAGTTCAATTAAGACTTAAAGAGAATTAACCAACTGCAAAGTGACAATTTTATGGCATTTAGGAGATAATTGCAAATTTAAGTACTGACTGGATATTTGATATTAAGGAATTGATATTCTGGAAAAGAGTACTATATTTTAAATATACACACCAAAGATGCAGAGGTGAAATATTTGAGATTTGCTTTAAACCATACAGAACAGGGTAAAATAAGTAAAGATATAGATGAAACACAATAGCCATCAATTGATAAATATTAAAGTGAATGAATTAATGTGTATATAATGAACATATATAAGCATTCTGTCTATTCCAATATATGCCTGAAGTTTATAATAACTTTTTTTTGTAGGACTGGGGTTTGAACTTGCAAAGCAGGCACTCTACAACTTGAACCATACTTCCAGTCTATTTCGTTGGGTCATTTTGAAGATAGGGTCTCCCAAACTATTTGCTTGGGCTATTGCCTGTGCTATTACCCAGGACAGCCTCGAACATCAATCCTTTGGACCTTATCCTCTCAAGTAGCCAGGATTACAGGCATGAGCCACTGGCACCTGTCATATGATAATAACTTTAAAAAAGAAAACATTGGGAAAGTTTGGCAGTTTCTCATAAAGTTAAACACAGAACTACCATATGATTCAATTATTCTGCTCCTAGTGATACATCTAAAAGAACCGAAAGCAAGGATTTGAACAAATATTTGTACACCAATGTTCAAAGAAGTAGTATTCACAATAACCAAAGAAATAATCCAAGTGTCTATCAATAGATGAAGGTATAAACAAAACAGGGCATATGCACAAAATGGAATATTCAGTTGTGAAAAAGATTAAGATTCTGATCCCTGATACAGCATGGTTAAACCTTGAAAACATGATTAGTGAAATAAGCCAGACACAGCAGGACAAATATGACCTGTGTCTACTTGTATGAGGCACTTATGACTGGCAAACACAAAGAGATAGAAAGTACATTAGAAGTTGCTAGAGGATTGAGGTGGGGAAAGGGATGACAAAAAGAGCCATGTACATTAACAATAATAATTGTGACTAAACATTATAGTTCAATTCATGTCTCCAATTTCTTTTGTGTTGCTGTTTTTGTTTTTTTGAGACAGGGTCTTGCTATGTAACCCAGGCAAGCCTCAAACTCACTATGTAACACTGACTGGCCTGGAATTCATTTTTGTCCTGTCTCAGCCTCCAGAGTGCTGGGATTACAGGCATTCTTTGTCTTGCCTGGCCTCCAATTTCATTTTCAGTCAGCAGTTAAAAACATGTAATTAAGGAAACCATTTGGTTCCCTTTTAAAATTACCACCATGAAAGAAGGCCAGGTTTCACATCAGCTCCAGATGAAAACTGCTGAAGCACTGTGAATTACTTTAGCATCAGAATGAAGTAAGTTCATTTCAATTTTTACCTCTGGGTTATAACAGAACTGAGTATATGTTAAATCAATAATCAGTCCAATCTCTTCCTTTTGTTCTTAGATTTTGTTAAAAAGATCCAAAGGGGAAAATTGTTCTTCTGGAGCAAGATTCACTTCAAACTTCTGTCAGAGAATGAAACAAGAGAAGACAAATGTGTGCTTAAAGTCCTATGTGATATTATGCATGTATTCAAGCCCTATGAGGCTAACATACAATGAGATTCAATGTAAAGTGTCCACTCGTCTGGAAGCTGTATTATGAATCTCTCTTCCAGTGATCAATAGGAAGAACAAAAGCTCGCCTGGTATCTCTATTTCTGTGTTTATTTGTGTTCGACTTCCTGAATGACTTTGAAATGTCCCCATCAACTTTAACATAGGTTTAAAAAAAAAGTTCTTGTTTATTTAATACATAGAACCTAACTCCATTTTACAAATAAACATAAAGGGTTTTTTGGGCACAATGTTGATGCACATTGAATTTCCCAGCACAGTAAACACCTTAAGAACAAAGTGAAAACTATGCTATATTTTTGTGTTCTGATGTAGTGATGCCCACATATTTACATACTGGAATACAAATTACTTTATTATAAATTTATTTTATTTTTAATTTATTTTTGTGGCAGTACTGGAATTTGAACTCAGAGCCTCGTGCTTGCTTAATAGGCAAGTGCTCTACCACTTGAGCCACACCCCCAGTCCTTTTTTGCATTAGTTAGTTTTTCAGGTAGGGTCTTGGCGCTTTTTGCCTATGATGCTCCCACCTATGATTTCCCACACAGCTGAGATCACAGGCATCTAAAACCATCCCAGGCTTATTGGTTAATAGGATCTTGCTAACATTTTTTGCCTTGGCTGGCATGCAATCCTCCCATCTTCACCTCCTGAGGACCTGTGATTACAGGCATGAGCCACCACACTGAGTGCAGCTTATATTATAGTTAGAGCATTACACTGATTTCTTTTCTTTACAATTATATGGAGCTCTTGAGCTACAAGTGCGGTTCTTTGTTATTATTATTATTATTACTATTTTGGTGCAACTGGGGTTTGAATAAGCTTGCAAAGCAAGCTTGAAGTCATACCTCCAGTCCATTTTGCTCTCATTATTTGGGAGATGGAAATCTCACCAACTATTTACCCGGGCTAGCCTCAAACTACAATCCTCCTGATTTTAGCCTCCCAAGTAGCGAGGTGTAAGCCATAGGTGCCCAACTCATGTGCTGCTGTTAAGCTACCTCACCAGAGACCACCCCTCTTTCCTTGGAGAATATACTTTCTTGCTTTCTGCAAATTACTTAATTAGTTAACAAAATAAAATTATATATAGAAGTATATTATATTTATCCACCAATTTTATTTCAGGACAGTAAAAAGACATTTAAAGTATTTGCTTCAAAAAGAAATGCAGTATGATAGGGTTGAGAACCAGCACTCTACATGATGAATTAAGACTTCTAGAAGGATACAAAATTAATTTTTGCTTACCTTTTGCAAAGGAACTTGAAAGCAATAAAATGAGTCCCAGGCATCCTTATCCAACTGGGAGATAGTCTTTGCGTTAGACATGGTTTTTGTTAGCCAAACTGCATGTTAGACTTGACTCCCTGTACACAACATAGGCTCTTTGAAAATGGGAATCATAACACATATAGCATGTCCCTTCTCTCTGCTTTGTATTTTTGCCACTCAACTTATTTATCTCTTCCTAATAACAATATATCTTTTCGTTCTTCTTGTTTCCCCATCTTGAAAAACTACGAGGCAACAAAACAGCACAAAAGTCTCCACAAATAAGGAATATTTAAAACCAGGGATGGCAAGAACATCTGTATCGATGATAAAACCTATTCCCTAAAATAGTTTAAATTCAGTTCTTTCATTTGACAGGCTTTTTAGTCTTCATACAATTGATATCATCAAACTCAGTCAGTAGAGAACTTCACAAGTTCATACATGAAAAGAAAACCTAATAGAAAGAGTATGTGAACTTCACTTAATAACGCTAAAAGTGGGCTGGTGTGTGGCTCAAGTAATACAGGTCCTGCCTAGCAACCCTAAGGCTTTGAGTTTAATCTACCACAAAATAATGATGATGGTGGGAGTCATAGTGCAGAGTAATATCAAATGACTTCTGTAGGCTGAATTAGAATAAACTATGGGTTAGTTTATATATGAATCATAAAAGAGAGGACAAGAGTGGCGAGACATGGGGCTACAGAAGTAGAAAGGATCCCAGACCATGCAGAGTCTTACAATATAGGCCATGACAAAGAGTTTGTTTTTACACTTTTTTTTTTTTTTTGGTGGTACTGGGGTTTGAACTCAGGGCCTGCACTTTGAGCCACTCTACCAGCCCTTTTCTGTGATGGGTTTTTTTTCCGAGATAGGGTCTCGAGAACTATTTGCCGGGACTGGCTTTGAACCGCGATCCTCCTGATCTCTGCCTCTTGAGTAACTAGGATTACAGGTGTGGATCACCAGTGCCCGACTTGTTTTTACTCTTGAAACAATGTTTTACAGCAATGTCTATGAGCTATCTTTCCACTCCACTCCAACTTTAATTACTAATACAAAAGATTTCTTGTGTGAAGAATAAATAGATGGGAAAGAAAGAGAGTAGACAAATGGACACTGCTAGGACTGAACTGTAATAGGTCAGGCAAGATCCGCAGTAGGATGATGAAGGACAGATGTCAACAGATTCCAAAAATATTCAGGAGGTAAAATGAGGAAGGGGTTTGACGAAGTATGAGATGGGGGAGGGAAAAGTCTCAAGGAATTAAAGGGCTCACTGCACATATAAGCAGTCTCACAACTAACCATTTGAACGCAGACAGGAAGTTCTCTCAAATGACACCTGGTGCGTAGCCCACAAAATGCAAATCAACTTTCCAT